TCTTGGAAATTATGCAACAGTGTTTCCTAAAGAACTGTTCATAAACAAGGAAATGTTTGGACTAGATTTTTAAGGGAAAATATCCTATATAATAAAAACCCTAATATGCAAATCAACCGAACGGCAGAATGACCGGTTGCTATGATGCACACTGACCACCAGGGGGCAAACACTCAATGCAGGAGGTGCCCCCTGGTGATCAGGGCACTCCCACAGGGGAAGCCCCACTCAGCCAGGCTCATGGCTGGCAAGTGCAGCAGTGATGGCAGGGCTCCTGCGCTCACTGCAGGCGGGCAGTAAGGTGTGAGGGGTCCCAGACTGGGAGAGCCTCGGACTGCGAGAGGGCGCAGGCCAAGCTGAATACCCCTTACCCCCAAGAAGTATACAAATTTCATGCACTGGGCCTCTAGTGTATTGGAAATAAAATGGGCACTTAAACTCATGAATAATATTCTTTCTTCTACAGAGTGGTAAACAGGCAGCTGATAATTTTATTATTCCTTATATTTTCTTTAATACATCACACAATTGTTTTTTTTAAGAGAACTCCTGTGATATCTTGCTAGTGAAGACTGGCAGTAAGGGAAATAATGAAGAGTGGTTAAATTGTGCCTTTTATTTCGTCTTTCTTGAGAATATAATGCTAAGCGAAATAAGCTGGTCAGAAAAAGTTAGGAACCATAGGATTTCACTCACATGTGATATATACAACTGAAAGCAATAAATGAACCAACAATGAAAACAAACAAACAAAAACTCATACACACAGAGGGAAGTGGCTTGAGGAGGAAGTAATGGGTAAAAGACGTCAAATATTTGGCGATGGAAGAAGACTGACTTTGGGTGGTGGGCACACAATGCGATATACAAAATCACGTTTCATAGAAATGTACACTTGGAACCTTAGCCACTCCAATTAATTTAATTTTAAAAGTGTGACTTTTAAAGCTTCATCGCAGAAGAAAATACATTAGATGTAGAATATTATTTTTTTCACTCAGTTTTGAAGAGAAAATGGCATTGTAGATAAGGAAATTAATGTCACAATATTGATGGGGCAAGGCAAAACTTGAATAAAGATTATGAGCTCAATATAAATATATGTATTTAGCAACACAAATACATAAGAAACAAAGCTGAAGGAATATACTTTAAAATGTTACCTATAATTACTCCTAGGTAATGGAATTACAGGCTAATATTTTATTTTTTACTCTTGTATTTCTCAAATTTCCGTAATAAATGTATTAAAATCTTAGTAAGAAAAACATATGATTATTTTAATTATTATCCTCTTTAATCTTAAGCAGTATTTCCAAAACCTACATTATGAGAAGAAGAAAAACAGATTTCATCAATCAATCAATAAAAATATAAAATCACTCATGGTTAATGCATTCTAGAAATCTAATTTGTCTATTTCAGAGTGGTGGTTACAGGTTAGAAGTTCAAATTATCCACATATAATAACTTACGTGATCATAACTAATACTATAGATTACATGTCACTATAAATTCTTTCTTCAGAAATATAATATGTAGTACTATATAAAAAATAAAATATATTTTAAGAACCTTGTCATGCAGAATCACTATAAAACATGACATAATTTCATATTAAAAGTAAAGAAATAAAGTCTGCATGTTCCCTGTGGATCCTAAACATCTTCACTAATAGCAATATTTGCTATTCTATTATTTTAACAAAAGCAATTCATTAAACTTTTGGTAGAGTTAAGTAGTATTTTTAATCTTATTCAAATAAAAAATGCTTCAAGTCATAAACAAGATAGATTTTAATATAAGCTGATTTCATAGAGGGCCCCCAAAATAAAGCGATTGAAAATGGCCATCACCCTAGACAGTTTTGCTCAGTGGATAGAACCTCCGCCCAGAAACTGAAGGGTCCCGGGTTAATTCTAGTCAAGGGCAGGTACCTCGGTTGCAGACTCCTGGCCCTGGTGAAGGCGCATGCAGGAGGCAACCAATGGATGTGTCTCTCTCACATCAATGTTTCTCTCTCTGTCCCTCCCCCTCCTTCCACTCTCTCTAAAAAAAAAAAAAATAACAATAACAAAAAATTTATAAATCCAAATATTTTTGGATGAGGATTAACAAAAGAAAAATAGAAAGAAAATGACCATCTTTCCGAACTTACCCTATCACTCTGAAATATCATGAAATGGACCTCCACCATAGAAAAGATGCATGCTTTCAAAATGTATCATAGCAACTCTAATAAACAATTTGAATAAAAATGATTTAAATAGTATAATTTAACAATCCTAACAATGTTACATAGAAAATAAAAAAATTAAGTATATATTTAAATTAATTATCTGTGAAAATTCAGCAGAGAATTGAGAAAAATATGAGATAAGGAATTGAATCTTAGTTACTTGTTAAATAACATGAATGGATATAGACCTTTTTTGCCTATAATTTTAAAAGTATCTATTAAGTGTGATGTTAGTTATAGATAATTGGTGTGTATTTGTGAGTGAATTCTCCTTCATAGATTAACAAAGTACCCTTAAGGACTCATTAAGAACTTTTGTTGATAGGATTAGTACCCTTACAATAGAAAGATCACTCCATTATCTTTTGGACTAATATTTTTTCAGATGGGAAGTGAGTCGTTGATCTTAGCATTGTTTCCCCTGTGTAATGTATCTCTTTTCTCTGGGAAAAAAAAAAATTAATTCTGTTTTCACCATTTTCCTATGATATGCTTATGTCTATAAATGTTTACCAAGTTTGGGCAAATTTTTGGCCATTACATCTTCAAATAATTTTTTAAACCATTCTCATTTGCTTCTCAGAAGATTCCAGTTACAACTAGGTTAATTGGTAAATCCAACATCTAAGCTATCTCAAGGTCAGTTTCTATTGACTACTTTCCTTGACTATTGGGTCACATTTTCATGTTTCATTACTTGGCTAATTTTTATATCTTTTAGACATTGTTGATAATATAGAGATCTGAGATTCTGTTATCTTTGAGTACTAACTTTTATTGTAGGAGGCAGTTCAATTAATGGCTAATCAATCTGAACTTTGGTCGATTTGAGTTTATTCTTTGTTAGGAAGGATCTACCAAAGCTCAAAATGATTCCCAAGCCTTTGTAAATCGGTGGGACTCAAACTCCAAACTCTGTCTCCCCAAAAGATCTTATTGGGGTGTGGTTTCAGCTTTGTCAGGGCCGGTCAAGGGCAGGCATTTCTCTGGATCATGGTCTCTACTAGAAAAGCATAGCCCTCTGTTTGTTTGTTTTTTTTCAGCTAAATGTCAGGTGAATAATAAGGTATTAACAAGGTTGTCCTACTCTTATGGCCTGAATCCGTTCAGTTGCTAGTATCTATTTTAAATCTAAACTCCATAGCAGCAGCATTCTGATAAATTTTGGGCAGTTTATATCTATATAGTAGTATATTCAAATTAGTCTTTCAAAGGTCTCACAGATAATCTGCACACAGACTTCTTAGCACATTTCCCTTCATAAGAGTCCACTGTGCTCTACCTAGATTTCAGCTTGCAGTCAACAAAAATCATCCTGGCTTCATGGCTTTGGTGGTGAGTTCAATTCCCAGTCAGGGCACAGCACATGAAAGACAACCAATTAATGGTTCTCTCTCATATGTATTTTTTTCTCTCTCTTTCTTTCTTTCCTTCCCTCCTTCCCTCCTTTTCTCTTTTTAAAATCAATAAACATATCCTTGGGTGAGAATTTTTTTTTTTTAATTGTGCCTTGGTCAGAGATTACAGCATCGGCCTGCGCACCAGAGGGCCATGGGTTCATTTTAAGTCAAGGGCATGTACCTGGGTTTCGGGTCCAATCCCCACCACCCAGACCTTCCACTCTCTCTAGGATCAATGGAAAATATATCCTCACTCCTTTAGTGACAATTGTCAAAAGGCAAAAGCTGGATTGACTGGTGTTAATAAATTTTCCTTCTTTCAAGAGTTGTAGCCTTACATTACTCATTCTCCAATGATTGAAAGTAGATGCCAAATAAGTATTTATTTTACAGTTGTATGCTGATTAATCACAGTAGTCCAGCACCAGGTATAACTAACTTTACACAGAGATTTTTTTCCTTACATAGAGCCCCCACCACTGCGGCTTCGTCCAGAAGGTCATCTAGAAGGACGTCTGGGAGGATGTTTGGTCTAATTAGCACGTTACACTTTTATTATTTTAGATGTATAGCTAGAATAGTTTTTTACGATTCAGCAACAGAAGTTATCATGCATTTAACAGACTCATTTAAAAAACATCACATTTAAATGTTACTGTGTATTATGTGATGTGAAATGTCAACACTATTGATACTAAAATTAAGTTGTTACTGAACAATTATCATCATTTTTACTAGCTCTAAGTAAGAGATATTTACCAATAATTCTTAATATAGAATGCTCCTGGATAGTATATTTTTACTCATTATTTCACTTCCTTAAATTTACACGTAATGCTGCATTACAAAGCTTGTGAATATTACAGACATTCACAACATAGCTTAAGTTAATTACCTCAAAACTTAATTGAAACATTTTTCTCAGATTGAACAAGAAAGTTTGTTAACGTCTAAATTTAATATATTAAATTACTTTATATATAGTGATGACTGAAAAAATATATATTTTGGGCCCATAAATTCAAAGGTCCACTAAGTTAAACCATAGTTTTCACTTATCACTATCAATGACTATAACTTCACATCAAAAATTGAAACAAAATTTTATTTAAAAATTAACTAGCCAAATGTTTTGTCAATATGCCACCCAATGAATAGCAGTTCAAAAACCAGTGATTATGAATTGAGGGAAACTGACTAACATCATTTTGCCAAATGTGTTTTTGGTGTGTTTTTTTTTTTTTTTTTTTTTTTTTTTTTGAACACAAAATCTAGAATAAACGCATTGGGTGAAGGGATTGATGGGATTACTGGCATGGCCGTAGAATTAGGAACGTCCTAAGTGGCTTTGGGAGATTTACCTTGTTATAAGAATAGCTGCATCCACAGAAGACGTGTCCTCTCCCCAGCTTGTGGACATCTCTAAGTGGATATCATTCTTTTTGCCAAATTCTTCATGTTGCCACTTGCAAAAACTCTCTAGCATTTTCTCTCCGTGGTGCCCAATATACAGATCTGCCTGTAAAGAAGAGATTTCACTTCAAGGCAAATTATCCTCAGATTCACAAAACACTAAAAACTGAGGGGACGCCATGAATTACAAAGCAAACTGCTGACCATAACATTAATTAGAACCTGGAAGACATTAAGGATTAATTTAGCCTGAGGTAAAAATCTTTGAACTTTGTGAAGGTACAATAATTACAAAATCTGTTTAACGCTCTTCAGAAAAAAAAAAAAGAGAGAGAGAGAGAGAAAGAAGTTCAATGAATATTGGGAATGTGGAACTTTTAAACTCATGTAACTCATTATTTCTATGATTTAAGAACAAAGTACCAGTTAAGCAGCATGCTAAAATTATGTCACATAATAGTCCTCATTTAAAATGACTTGCAGATAAGAAAAGACTTTACATGTACATATTTAGAGGAAAAAATAAAACTGTCATTAAATATGACTTTTTAAAATTACTTTTAGAAAGTTAATGTTTGTGGTCAGGATCCTTGGAAACTAAGAACATTCCATTTTTTTGGAATAAAAATTGAGGCATTAACTAAAACTAAAGACCAGTTTATGTATATTCTAAGTAATTCTGGATTTTAAGTCAATAAAAAGTACATCCCTAATATTCCCTTTACTTAAAAGCAGCTGAACACAACTTCTCACCCAATTAATTCAGAACAAAAAACTCAAGACTTTCTTACTGGAGTTTCATGGAGCAGAATAAGCTTTATCACACGAAGATTGACCTGCACACCAAGACTCTTGTGTTGGAAAAGGTTAAAAACCTAAAAACAAATAAAAATAAAAATCCTAAAATAAAACTGAAAAACATCTTAATTATTCTAAAAGCCCAGACATGGGAGCAGTGTCCATTTAGTTGGGAAATCTTATATATATTTAAAACTTGAAGTACTTAAAAAATTAGCTTAATAAGCAGTAACTTAGCAAATTCATCTAAGGCTGGGCATTCGAATGGGGTGCTGAGAGAAGGGTGGCTTTTATGATACTGAAAAGAAGAACTTTGGTAACTAAACTCTAAAATTTGTCTTAATTCTCAATTCACAAAATGCCAGAGTCTTCCTTTCTTCTGAGAAATAGTCCTGAAAACTCAGCCTGCTTTATGCCACTTCCCAATTCATTCCTTGGAGTCTTTTTTTCTCACCCTGGCTAGCTGTCAAATAGAGACACAACTTCAAAGCTCCTCCCTTCAATGATCCCATGAAGACACGTTTGTGGGTCATGGCTGCTTAAGGGTTTCAGACCATCATTATAACAGGTTTTCTCAAAACACGGTGCATGTTGACATGCTGGAAAGCAAGGTGAATTTTTATGTGGTGTGTTGAGTTTTTGTAAAATTTAGCATTTATTTAATTTGGAATATAAAATATAATCCTGACACACCAAGCCCATGCTCTGAGATAGCATTAGTTGAAAGTTGGTGGAGTGTTCAGTGGTAGCTGAACATACAATGAACTGACTGCAGTGTGGGAAAATCTTTTTGCTGGAGGAAAAAAACAAATAACAAAAAAAAATGGAAATTGTACAAAAACATGACATATTTCTTCTTGAATCAGTAGTGCTCACCCATATATGGTAACTGGAATTATAAATGGACATTTGTCTCTGGCTTTTATTGATGTTTATTCTCCCTTAGAACCACGCTTCACTATGACCTTCTAATTCTGCCTTGAAGGAGGTTTACTCAAAACCATACACAATTACATCAAAGGATTCACGAGGCAGTATGCATCCATAAGATGCTAGGTGCAAACTAGATTTCTGCAGTCCGGATATTGCCAACTGAAGTTAGCTACAAACGATTCAGCTGGTTAGAAATTTAGCTCTTAGCTATCAGGTCTTACTCATCAACTAGTATTATAACTGAAATCTAATTTTACATACCTATATAAGAGCTCCATGGGTTATCAACCTCCATTTTTATTCTACCTCATAATCCAGAGTATTGTGGGTAGGACCATGCATATAAAAAAAATATTATAACATTTCTGCCCACTTCAACAAATGGCCTTTACAAATGAAAATGAAAAGACAGGCACAAAAAAAAAAAAGAGAGAGAGAGAAAACTAATAGAGTTTTGCCACATCACAATGAACAATAGGGTTGTTGGTTTCACTAGACGATGTGAATTATTATGTTGATATCTTTTTTGAGACAGATCAATGTGTTAAACCTAAAGATTTTTTTTTTACTGATGTCAATAAAAGAAAGGAACAGTAATGAATTTTTAAAGAACTTCATTATACTCACACATTTCTTCCTTAGAGTTTTCTTGAAAAAATTCCAAGCGCACTTTAAAGTTTGCCTACCATATTTAAGATGGTTAGAATGAATCTCCTGGCTGCATCTGCTCCATGATAGGAAACCATTGCTGGGTCTGCAACCACTACAGTCTCTATGTTGTATTCTTGGGGTAATTTGTATGAATATCGTTTCCCTCTTCCACTCTCTGTTACTTTTTTAGATCTAGGTCTTCCTTTATCTGCAACAGAGAAATGAATTTTCAAATGTGCCTCCATCTTGGCAAAGTAAATTTTAATAATCTGTTTATTCAATAATTTCAAAATATGTTTACCAAATACCAGTATGTAATGATGATACTATGGTGAGCAAAACCAAGTAAGTCCCCTTCACATGTGGAACCTAAAAGGGCATCTGGCATGGGAGTATGACTTTGGAACAAGACAGAATGGACTTCTGCCATTTACTAGATCTACCATTTGGAGAACTAACATCACTGCATCAGCCTTAGTTTCCTTATCTGTAAAATGAACAATACTAACACCTACTTTCTAGAGTTGGTGATGGCTTATAATAAGTCACATTAATAAAAATAAAATAACTCAAACGAAAAAAAATAGTATAAATAAGATAACCTAATAAACAAAAGGTAGATGATTTTCTTTCGGAGACCAGTAACAAAATAAAGGTCTACTTGCAAGAAGTGCCTTAAGTGACTTCACCACATATCCTAATTTCAGTCAGACACCCCAAATGACTAAAACATTATGCATGGCTTACAAAGGATTTGGTTCTGCCTTCCATCAGGATCATATAGAAGTTTGACCTTAGGGTAATAAAAATTCCTCAAACAGGGCCAAATAAAAGCAGTAACCACAAATAAAAATATTTATAAATTTAAATACATAAAAATATAAAATTTCTGTTTATTAAAACATGCCACTATCATAATGAAAAGCATGCCAAGTTGGAGAAGATATTTATAATGTTTTTCCATAATAAAGAAATAAAAGCTACTCTATATCAATGACAGATAAACCAATTAGAAAACTGGCAAAGTACTAGAACAGTGATTTCTCACTAAAAGGATATCCAAATGGCTAATGAAAAGCATATGAGAAGATGCTGCCAGCCGGCGTGGCTCAATGGTTAAACATCGACACCTATGAACCAGGAGGTCACAGTTCAATTCTCAGTCAGGGCACATGCCCAGATTGCAGGTTCGATCCCCAGTGTGTGGTGTACAGGAGGCAGCCAGTCAATGGTTCCCTCTCATCATTGATCTTTCTTTCTCTCTCTCCCTCTCCCTTCCTCTCTGAAATCAATAAAAATATTTTTTAAAAAGATGCTCAATCTCATTAGTCTTCAAGAAAATAAAAATTGAAGTTACAATAAGTTAAAGTAATTAAATCCTTAGAATGGCTAAAATAAAGAGGTGATTATATGGTGTCAATAAGAATGTGGGGGCAAGAACTGGAAGTCCCATACGCATACATGAGCTGGGAGTTTAAATTAAGATAAACACTTTGAAATACTGATTGGCAACAGCCACTAAGGTTGAGCATTTGCACACCCAATGATCAATGATTGAAAATATATATTCATCAAAAATGCATGCAAATCACATGTACAATTTATTCAGAGCAGCATTATTCTTAATAGTTCAAATAACCATCAATAGTACAATGGATAGCCCTGGCTGGTGTGGCTTAATTGGGTGGGCGTGGTCCCATGCACCAAAAGGTCCCTGGTTGGATTCCTGGTCAGGAAACATGCCCAGGTTGCAGGCTCAATCCCCTGGGGATGTACAAGCAGCAGCTGATTAATGTGTCACTCTCACATAGATGTTTTCTCTATGTTGTGCTCTTATATCAATGTTTCTCTCTCTCTCTCTTTCTATAAAAAAATCTTTTTTTTAAATTGTAAAATGAATAAAGACACTTTGGCCTATTCATACAATGAAATGCTACACTGAGTGGCTAGACTATTACAATCTCTGAACGCACAATAATCTAGCCACTCAGTGTGTGTGTGTGTGTGTGTGTGTGTGTGTGTGTGTGTATGTGTAGTAGAGGCCCAGTGTATGAATTCGTGCATGGGTGGAGCCCAGCCAACCTGGCCAGAGGGAGGGCACATGGATGGTTGGCCGGCCTGCCTGCTGGTCGAACTCCTGGTTGAGGGGACAATTTGCATATTAGCCTTTTATTATATAGCATATACACTGAGTGGCCAGTTTATTATGCATTTAGAGATCATAATAATCTAGCCACTCAGTGTGTATACCAATAAAAATAAATCAATTACTGCAGTGTGCAAAAATATAGATAAACCTCCTAACAATAAGTCTGAGCACAAGAAGCCAATTACAAAAGAGTAGGTGAGATTTGGATTATATCTCCCCAAGAAAGGATGTGGAGTGAGAAATAGAAAGAAAAAGAGGAAGTCCTAGGAAATTCCTACATATAGGGGGTGTACATGTGGAAGAAGACACACTCATGAAGAGATGTAAGAAAAATAAAATGAGAGCCCAAAAGAAACCACAGAGATAGTTACACAATGAGAGGGGCTTTGTACCAAGTTTGTTCCCTTTGTTGCCCCAGCTACTGACAGCTACGTTGGCCCCAAACTGTCGCTATTAAGCATCCATATTTGCATGTTACATTTAAACTAGAGGCCTAATGCACAAAATTAATGCATGGGTAGGGTCCTCAGCAGCTGCCAGCTACCAGCCAGGGCTTTCCTTAATTCTGCCCCTGGTAGTAAGTGATTGAATTCTTGGTTGGTCAAACTCCTGAGGGAACACTTTGCATATTAGGCTTTTATATAGACTACAGGCCCCGTGCATGATTTCATGCACCAGTGGGGTCCCTCATCCTAGCCTGCAGGATCAGGACAAAACAGGCTCTCTGACATCCCCAAGGAGTCCTGTACTGCGAGAGGGCACAGGCCAGGCTAAAGAGCCCCACTGGTGCATGTTTGGAGCTGGGGAGGAACATAGGAGATTGGCCAGCCAGGGAGGGACTGTGGGACGGCTCCAGGTTGTGTCTGGCCCATCCCATTTGGTCCTGATCGGCCAGACCCTAGCAGCAAGCTAACCTACCTGTCGGAGTGTCTGCCCCCAGGTGGTCAGTGCATGTCATAGTGAGTAGTTGAGTGGCCTTAGCATATCATTAGCATATTACACTTTTATTGGTTGAATGGCCAACCAGACGACCAGACATTTAGCATATTAGGCTTTTATTATGTAGGATAGGCTACTTGGAACAAATCTAAGTTTCTTAGGAATCTTAACTTCATCATACATGCTATCATACAAGTTAGCCACTGGGTGTGAAGATCATGCATATTGAAGTAATCATTAAGTTGCTTCCTTTGAAGCCTTCATTGTCTACGCCAACTATGCTTACTCATTCTTCATCTCCTAAATCTTGAGGCCATTTTCCATCCATATGCAAATATAAAGACAACATAATTGATATCACACACTTCCAGTCAGAGAGTTCATGTTAAAATGTGTATTCATTGGGGCTCAATGTATGATCTCCATACTATCCTCCACATACTGACAATAATCTCCACAACAGTTATGGATGGTGCATGGAAACGATTTCAGTAGTGGTCTGAGTCCTAGACATACTCATGATTTATACTAAAACGTTAAGGAATGTATATTGATAATGTCACTTGCCTGCTTAAAGTCTTCAGAGACCACATTTTGCCTTCCAGATAAACTCTTTCCCATGGCACGTAAGTCCCTGCATTATCTAGTGGATGACTACCTTCCCAGGGTTGTATCTTGTGGCCACATTGAAGACATTTGTCTTCAGCTCCTCGAGACGATGCCATTGTTCCTTCTGCCTAAATGCTTTCCCCAACTAACGACATGCACTAAAAACTTCACACATGTTTTTCATTTGTACACATAATGTCATTTAATTCTGACAACAGCCCTGAGCTTTGGGTATTACTATCCCGAAGTGATAATGGAGCTTTCGAGAAATAAAGTTTTCCAAAGTCACCAAGCTAGGAAGTGATTGCACAAGAATGTGAAAACAAGCAGTCTGACCGCAAAGTCCAGACTCAGCCTGCATACTCTGTTCTCTTTTCCTCCTGTGGGGTGGCTAAGTTTTATTTGGTCTTTGAGGTTCAGACCCCAATAGTGAAGCCTGAGATCTTGTGCACTGAGGCTGTCACAGTTCTTACCGCACTACTGTGTAATTACTCCTTTACCAGTTTGTCCAGAATAATACATGGATGCCCTGGCCCAGTAGCTCAGTGGGTAAAAGCATTGTCCCAATATGCCAAGGTTGTGGGTTCGATTTCCAGCCAGGACACACACAACAATCAACAAATGAATGCACCAATAAGTGGGAAAACAAACCGATGTCTCTGTCTCTCCCCTCTCCCCTCCCCCTTGTTTCTCTCTTTCTCTCAAGTCAATCAATAAATAGAATATTTAATTTTTTTTTTTTAGAATCAAGCATTTCTTTTTTTTAAATATATTTTATTGATTTTTTTTACAGAGAGGAAGGGAGAGAGATAGAGAGCTAGAAACATTGATGAGAGAGAAATATCGACCAGCTGCCTCTTGCACTCTCCCTACAGGGGATGTGCCTGCAACCAATGTATTACATGCCCTTGACAGGAATCGAACCTGGGACCTTTCAGTCTGCAGACCGACGTTCTACCACTGAGCCAAACTGATTTCGGCTAGATAGAATATTTAAAATAAAATAATACATTAATTGCCTCTTGAGAATATGAGCTGTCCCTTTTAACTCCATATCACTGTGGGGTGACTGGTCATGCTTGTGTTGCAAATAATTAGGCTAAACTTCAAAATTTTAAGAGAATTGAAAAAGAGTACCTAGCTGGAGTGGGACTGAGGTGTGCCTTAAACTCAGGGCCTCTGACCCTCAACCTTATTTGCCTTCCCTTCCTCTACATAATTTTAATAAAAGAATACAACAAGGTTCTCTTAAAGTATAAAAATCCCCGTTTTGAGAAAATATTCATAAAATAAATAAATGTAAACATAATGTACTTAGGCTTCAAAATGCAGAAGGGAAATCATACAAAGGCTAAGTTGAATACAAATGAATTTTATGATTCCTCTAGAGGCCCGATGCATGAAATTCGTGCACGCATAGGGTCCCTAGGCTTGGCCAGCCATCAGGGCCCATCTGTGGGGTGACTGGTGCGGCAATCGGGAGGGATCCCCACTGGCACTTGCCTTGGCCCGCCTGGCACCACCGGCTCACTGGCCCTGCCCCCTGCCACCACCACCAGTCGCCTCCCTCTGTGAGGCAATTAGGGGGCCTCCACTGGCACCTGCCTTGGCTGGCCTGGCAGCCACCCGTGCACCAACCCCAACCCCTATCCCGCCACCACCGCCGCCAGTCGCTTCCCTCTGCAGGGTGACCGGTGGAGAGAACTCAGGGCCCCTACTGGCACCCGCCTTGGCTGGCCTGGGGTCTCTGGGCTGGGACAACTCTTGCACTAAGCGTCTGCCCGCCTGGTGGTCAGTGTGTGTCATAGTGACCAGTCATTCCACTGGTCATTCTGCCATTCGGTCAATTTACATATTAAGGCTTTTATTATATAGGATTGTGCAAAGGCAAATACTGCAATGTTATTCAAATTTGAATCATGTGTTTAATATCAGCCTGAAATAAGAGCTCCAATTAGACATCTCAGTGTAAGTAAATAAATATTTTATTTCATAAACTGTTCATTTTAAAATGATTTTTTTAATTCTATGCTCTTAAAAAGCCGCTGAAAATAGGTAAGCTCGGTAAATCATCCAACTGGTGACAGCTTAGCATTTCTTGTATACAGATAGTCAATTAACCTATAATAGTTATGCCTAACCAAAAAAAATAATAATAATAATTAAAACTTCATGAGAAATGCTTGTCAAATGTGAACCAAGTATTTATGCTTTATAAACATATTAAGATTAAAAATTTTCTAGCAATCTTCCCCCACTACATAATGATGCACACAAAGCCTGCTTTCTGTGACCCATGTACATGGGTGTCTAGAGCAGCGGAATTTACTACAGTATAACTCATACAACGCTATCTCCTTAGATGGACTAAATTCAAGGGGTAGTTGCTGTTGTCATTTCACCATACAAAAGCCATTCTGTTGCTTGTTCGTAGTGCTATGACATCCATTCAGCTGTTACATGCCTTGTGCTATAGTTCTTAGAATAGAGAAGAGAGATGTGTCTTTTTTAAATTGACTTGATCATGTACACTGAGAGGTGTGACAGAGATTCACTTAACAACTTTTGAAGATGATTCCCAAAGAGACTGATATTATGACCTTTCACAAAATAAAACAGAAACCACGGATTAACTTGAGATGAATATATCTAAACAGAAATAATCATAATTCTTCCTGAATCCAAACACCCTATGCACCTGAGGATATGAACATCCTATGGCCTCTGCAAATGTTACTTTTGTCAAAATTCATATATCCAAATCAGCCTCAAAACCATAACCAACTTTGACTTAATATCTTGGCACTTACACCTAATTTGAAATCTGCAAGTCAAATTTTAAAGTCTTTGCACCAAGAATTCTTCAATAAATTCATATTTCCTCAGATTCTAATCTAATATCAGTGAATATTCACTGAGATGTCTGGTTTAGATGTTTAAAATTGTTCCGAGGGAAACTCATTATTTGCTGGATGTTGGCTATGACTTCCAGATCCTACTTATGTAAGAGAAATCATTCATTTCCCCGGCCATTCTTGCTGATGCCACAGAGCTCTGCCAAAGGAAGTAAGAAAGTGCACAAAATAGTCACCATTTCATGTCTGTGAAGTGCTAGCAGACAGGCAGAGACAGGGTTTGGTGGTTAGGAATGTCTATGCCTCTGAAACTGCCAGGTTTAGGGTATGCTGATACTGAGAATAAAAGCCAAAGAAATGTTTACCCTTCTTCCGGTCCCTCTGATAATTTTAACCTCCAAGATGAGTTTTACTTGGGTAAAATGTTTAAAATTTTTTAAAAAGATGCTTCTGGCCAAACCAAGAGCTCACAGGATCAGCTTCAGGATTCCCAGTGTCATGTCTATCCCAGCGAGGTGACCCACATCCCAAGAGAAACACTTCACAATATAGGAAAGATGTGGGGCACATTATATGTTCATCTCTGAAGTCCTTGTGAGTTCGTATTTCTTGATATTAAAAGATGGCACTTCCCAGAAAACTAAAAAAATGAACTGAAAATATATTTCATTGCCATTAACCAAAGAAAAAAGATAAAGCTAGTAAATGAATGGATGGCTGCAATGGATAGAATTTTTTGACAGATCCATCTCATATTGCTCCCCCAACCCCCACATTGAATAGTCAAATCTTTCAGAGGGCATTACCTGAAACAATACCACAGAAAGGACTGTGAGGAGTTGGCTTCTCTGTGACTTCCTCCTGCACGGACCTTTTCTGCCTATAGAGCCGGTGCGGGTGACCCGTTATCGCCACTGTATCATTGAGTGGTTCGATAAATATGAAGTCTTCATTGAGCTGTATGAATCCCATCTGGAATGAATAACATGAAGAGACATGTAAGAAATGCCATTTGAATACATTACTTTCTGGCACACTGTTTTCTTTCACATATGTGCATGCGTTCTTCTAGTGAAGCTGTTCGAGCAACCGCATAATAAAGTGACTGTCTTCCCGTTTTATTACTTCATCTTTACGTACTTTATTACACTAGCATAGACTTCATTTAGCTAGCCTTAGCCTGTGTGGGTGGGAGGCGAGATGCCAGCAACAGATGCACAGTAAAACTTCTGGAATGTTAAAGGCTCACTTTGGGAGACCCATGGGCTCACTTACATGGACGGCATGTACAGAAGAGCAATGCAGCTCTTAATTGCATACGAGACATAGTCCAGCTTTCTGACAATCATTATTTAACAAAGTAAGTCGTGTAACATATCAAAGCAAACATGAGAGACACAGCATTAGAATCATCGTGTAAAATATTCTTAAGGCCTTCTACTAAACATTTTGAAAACCTGTGAACAATAAATTACAGGAGAAGAAAGAGCATCACTTACATAAACAAGTTTCATTTCATTCAATGCCAAGAAAATGGATTTTAAAGTTCGCCAATTGTGGGCAGAGGGCTAAAAACTGTAAAATGTGGTTATGATCAATAAAAAGAACTCATAACAAGTAGGTATCCTTTTATTATATTGAAGCTAAGCCTAGTCATTTCTTTCCTTTTTTAGAATAAATTTGCATTATAACTAGGAAAATATTCCACATAGAAGAACATATGACTTAATCTTTTCAATTTTATTTTACTCCACTGTAATATATATATATATATATATATATATATATATATAATTGATCACTGTTAACTCTTTAGTAATTATTTTTGAATAATCCCTTAGAACCTGCTTATTCATACCCAATCTGTTAATATCAAAGTTCATAATTCTGCTTTGCATTAATTATATATAGTTCATTTTAATTTGATTCACATATACCTACCACAGCAATAATATAATTACTTTTTCAGACATAGTAATTCTTCCAAGCTGAATAGTAAGAAAAATTAAATCTACATTTTTTAAAAGTACATTTTCCTTAGACGTATAGAAGAAGCTTTTTCTTTTGGTTTGTTCTAATGATTAAAATATATTGCATCTTCCATACAAAAAGTCCAGGTGATTGCGAATATGCTATCTCATATCATTCTGTAAGAATTAACATTACAAGATACCTTAAGTAATCTAAAAATCCTCATCAATTTCATTGTATTATATCACAAATAAAATTTTGAAGAACTAGAACAGTTCCACTCGGCCAGCATAGCTCAGTGATTGAGTGTCAACCTATGAACCAGTTCGAATACTGCTCAGGGCACATGCTCAGGTTGCAGGCTTGATCCCTAGCGCAGGGCATGCAGGAGGCAGTTGATCAGAGATTCTCTCTCGCCATTGATGTTTCTACCTCTCGCCCCCTCTCCATTCCTCTCTGAAATCAATAAAAATATTTTTAAAATAAAATAATAGTTACATCACCTCCATCTGTCCCCTTCTCTCTCCCTCACTCCCTTTTCCTCTCTCGCTCTCCAAGTCTTCTTCCCCTAACCTCTTTCTCTCCCCCATATCTCTCTCTCTCTCTCTCTCTCTCTCTCTCTCTCTCTCTCTCTCTCTCTCTCTCTCTCTATCTTTCTCTCTCTCTCTCACACACACACACATACACACACACACACACACACACACACACACACACACGAATGCAAGCTCACATGCACACATCATTTGCGGGTAGGGATAATGCAAAAAAAAAGATTTACCCTAATGATTCTTTTCAAATATTTTTCTTTTAAAATATGTATATATTTGTCCAGCTGGCATGGCTCAGTGGTTGAGCATCAACCTATGAACCAGGAGGTCATGGTTTGATTCCTGGTCAAGGCACATACCTGAGGTTTTAGGCTCAATCTCCAATAGGGGGTGTGCAGGAGGCAGCCAATCAATGATTCTTTCTCATCATGGATGTTTCTATCTTTCTCTCACACTCCCTTCCTCTCTGAAATCAATAAAAATATTTTTAAAAATAAATTTTAAAAAATATGTAGGTATTTGGGGCATTTTTTTGTGTAATTTTAATATGACACTATAGACATTTTTAAAAGGAGAAGGACCAACTTAAAAAGAAAAAAAATGTTATTCATTCAAGATATATTTACTGTCTGACCACGTGCGGCTCAGCTCACTCCAGGGCACATTCGGTGTTCTCTCTCCATGGACGTGTTTCCTGTCCGAGATCAAAAAACTATCCTGCAGTTTGGGAAGTGCCCTAGCTGAGGTTGGTTTCTTTCAAGATAATGATGTGTAATAAAAAGAATTACAAAAAATCTTAAGGTGTTCTGTGTCTCCACAAAGGGCTTACTTTGTCCATTAATAAAATAGGTTGTTTTATCTGTACTATGATTGTACAGGCCATGGAAGAACACAAATCCATACTAACTTCTCTGCACAAGGACCTCTGTGCCCCACAACCCTCAATGAAGCTGCACTCACTTTAGGGCAAATATTGTCCTTTCCATTTTAGAAGGAAAGGAAAGATTGTGTGAATTAGTAGGACACTGTCCCTTATCTAAAATAAATGCAGAATATATGTGTGGTTTACTCCCAGTTGCTCTTTTTAGATTTTTCAATGAGACATTTCATGCAAATATTTGGCAATGAAATTAAGTTTCACAGTTATTCCCTACCTTGCTTCTGTCATCATGTACATTTCCTCATATGGTGGCATCTGTTATTTTGTCACTGAATGTTATTCTTTGATTTGATGATTTAGCAAGAATTTCAGTGTTTTGCACATTCACCATAACTTACATAAAGGTGTTGCCAGCCATGTCTTCTCTTACTGGTTCTGATGTTTCATCTCTCTATTTAGATGCCTCTGTGCGTTTTAAAACAACTATTAACATTGATTCACATGTATGTTTACTGATACTGCCACCAACTGCTAATCACAACATGAAATTTAATTTGGCCAATATGCACGAATTTATATATTGTTTCTTCAATTCACCAAATATCACTGTTGCATTTGTTAGAATTTAAATGAACCATGATCTATTAAATAGACAAACAGATTCCAAAATCTAATCTCTATATATAAAAGGCTAATATAGAAAGTGTCCCCACGGGAGTTCGACCAGGAGAACGGGAGTTCTATCACTCACGATGACATGCACTGACCACGAGGGTGCAGTATGGAACAAAGGAAGGCCCCGGCCGTCAGCTGGCAGCTGGCAGCAGGGAAGGGAGGCCCTGCCGCCAGGCAGAAGGAAAGCCCTGGCCAGCAGCCGGAAAGCCCTGATCAGGTCTGATTGCTAACCAGGCCTAGAAAGCCTACCCATGCATGAATTTTGTGCACCAGGGCTCTAGTAGAAGCAAAACTGAAAACTAACTCAACAATTAGAAAGAGCCTGGCACTCTCCACTCTGGTTCCCACTCCTACTAGGTTACCTCCCTCCCTTTCACAGTCTCACTTCCTGTTCACTCACAAAACGGAAGCACTACTGTGGTTATTTTTCTCAAGTGTTCCCTTCATGCTTCCATGCACTTTTCTGAACTTGTCTGTATTTTACAAAACTTTGGTTTTCTAGCTAATCTTTAACTGAACTGGCTGAAAGCATTTTATCTGAGGCTCAAGCACGTATTGTGAGAGTCTTTGAGAATATCCTTTAATATTAGTATAGCACAGTGGTCAGCAAACCATGGCTCACAAGCCACATGCAGCTCTTTGGCCCCTTGAGTGTGGCTCTTCCACAAAATAGCATGGCCTGGGCGAGTTTATTTTGAAGAAGTGGCGGTAGAAGAAGTTTAAGTTTAAACAATTTGGCTGTCAAAAGAAATTTCAACCGTTGTACTGTTGATATTTGGCTCTGTTGACCAATAAGTTTGCCAATCATTAGTATGCAAATCGCAAGACCTAAATTCCATTAGTGTTACAGGACATTAGGTGGTAGATCTTATAACTTCAGGACACAAGAGGAGTCCTGAAGAACAGCAGGCTTTGGCTAAGACTGCGGCAGGGTGGCTCCCTGTGAGAGGAGGCGTTGGGAACAAGGGCAAAGAGGACTTGAGTCTCAGAAGCAGTTCAAGAAGAGGCCCGGCTTGAGAAGAGAACTGGAGAAATGTAGTCAACAAATACCATGAGCCCATATAATTGGGAACATCAAATGGCCAAGTGCTTGACAGCAAAAGGAAAGCCCATCTCCAGAAGACCTGAGGACACTGGAAGCAGCGCAAGTGTTTCATTTCTACACAACAGTAACAGGAGTTGCTGAAAAGTTTGGCATCACTATCTGCTTGTAAAAACACTTTAGACAAATATTTGTCTGATGCTCTACATGACCTGAATGTCTACACAAGTTTGGCTTTATTTTCTTAGGTGTTTTCTTATATGGTAATGTTAGAATATCTATCTCATTAAGTAAATACTGCATTCTATACTTTAAAATGGAAGCAGAATATAAGCGAGACGTGAATCTTACTATAACTTTGTTTTACGCTTTATTTTTAAAATGTCATTTTCAATGTTACTATAAATGAGAGTATTTTTCCATGCATTTGTGCATTCTATGTACACACACAAAAATGCACCTCTGACACCACATCTAGCCTACTGCCTTCTGCTAAAATACTCTGTCTGATGACCCTTTCTGTGTCCCCTTCACACCCACAGGGATAAACACCAAGTCCTTAATGAAGACAGAGACAGTATAAAGTCATGACAAAGTCTTGGGTATCATTCCAGCTTTATTTTCACTATAATACTTAAACTTCATGTATAACCCTAACAAACCAATTTTAATTGTGTGAACAAGCTTTCTATTGTAACATGTTTCCAAAAAACTTCCAGCTGCATGATGACATCTCGGTACATGGCATGCGCTGCTTTCTCTTTCCAGAAAAGTCACTGTCAGTATTGAGAGTTATTTCTTCAAATTCAAGCCAACCCTGTTCTCTCTCCAAAGTAACCACTGCCTCCCTTAC